GGAACACAGTCTGTCTTGCACGCCGTTTGGTGGCCTCGGCTCCACGGTGACTGTCGTGGAGGCGAGCTAAGGCGTGGGGACATGAAGCAGCAGGGACAACTACCGGAGGAGAGGTGAAACTGGCCAGAGGTAGGGGTAGAGCGGCAGCAGGGTAGTTGCTGCTCCCTTCGTGCACCCTGTTGGCGTATTTTACCTCGAGAATCGGTTTTGGGAAGTCCTGGGAGATGATGGCTAACTCTTGGCAATGTCTGTAGGACAGCAAAGGAGTCGGGACACCATTATGCACGTCAATCCAGGCTTGACACGACCTGTTGCCAAAGGTGACATGTGCATAGAGTGAACTTAGGGCTGGGGCCACCTGTGAACCGTCTGCCGTGACGCGGAGGTCCTTGGGAGGCGGTCCTAGATCACTTGGAGAGAGCCCCAAGCATTGCAAATGCTCGGGACCGATGACCGTAGCCTCAGCGCCGGTGTCGGGCAGCATCTCGAGACAGGATGACACACTGCCGTAGGTCACGATGACACTGACATGCTGGGGAACTTTGGACCTGGGACGCGAGGAGGAGTACACCCTCCTAATATGGGTTGGGCTTTGTCCAGGGTCGTCGTGCCTCTGATTTGGCGACTGTGGGCGGCCCTCACTGGTGGAAGGGCTCTGCTGCTTCCGCCGACGCTGTCCCTTGGGTTTGTTGGTCGGGCAACACTTGTCATATTGGCCCAGACAACCACACACATTGCACTGGACGCGTTTGGCTGGGCACCGTACTGTAAGTGACCAGTGGCCCTTGCGGTCACAACTGTCGCAGGTAGACGCGGCAGCTGGACACACCTGTGTTCCGTGCTGCCTACCACAGCTGTTGCAAAGGGAGCCGGGCGTGGGCGTGGTGGGCGTAGTCGTTGGGGTAGACTTCTTGTCTTTCTTGTATTAGGACATAGCCCGTACGGCTGTAGGGGGAGCTCGGATGGCAGAGGTAGCACACCTGGCAGCCTCATGGGAGTGACATACTGTCAATACATCCTTAAGAGAGGAAGAAGAGTCGAGGGAGGTGAGGCGTTGGACAAGCTCCTCGTCCTTAATCCCCATCAGGATCACCTGCTTCAACTGGGTCTCCTCGCACTGCTGGTGATTACCGGGACATATGTCTATCTCTTCCGAGGCTCTCTTGAGTCGTACATAGAAATCGTCAAAAGTCTCGCCCTCCATCTGTCTACAGCTAAACACTTCCCTCCTGCAGAGAACTTCATTCCGCTGACCTTTGATGTGCCGTTCTAGAACATCCAGTACATCCTCTACAGACAACAATGACGTCGGGAGCACTTGCAACGTGTGTTCCAACACATGCTGCGTTCCCAAAGACAGGCACATACGTAGCTGAATGAGTTGTTGTTTAGGCTGTGGCTTCAAGGTGGGTGGGGGTTGGACAACCACTTTGGTAGAGGGCGTTGACGAGGTATCTGAGCCAGTCGGTACCTGAGTAGTGGAAGGGCCAAGGGCTTGATTAGCAGTGAGGCTAGATATCAAAGCTGCAAACCGTTCATTATCTTCCAATCTCCTTTGGTGGTCCTCAGCATGTCTTTTCGCTTCGTCCTGACGCATTTCCTCCCTCATAAGCTTCATCAGAGCAATTATCTCTCAGGGCGAGGCTGAGGGTTGAGGGGTGTGGCTGGGAGATGTGTTGGGAGAGGGTGGGGCGTCGCGCTCTGACTGGTCATCCATCTCTGTAGAGCTGTCATCTGATTCATCCGGGCGCTAGGGATACCGCTGCATGAGGTCCGGGGCATAATTACTTTATCTGTATATTGTATCTCAAATCAGTGTTGACCTGTCAGCCCGTCGTATCAACCAGATCTGAGACAACAAAATTAATTGAATACACAGATAAGTAACTTATATATATATATATATATATATATATATATATATATATATATATATATATATATATATATATATATATATATATATATATATATAAAGACGAAAGCTAAGGTGCTCCGTTGTTTCCATTTTCCCGTGTGATTTTATCAAGATTTATCTTATCCACGTTTTCATTGTGGATTTACATGAAATATATATGAAGAAATGACCGCGGTCAGTGTGTTCGTGTGTGGGTTGGTGTGTGAAGGCGCGGTGGAGAGCAGAGGGAGGCGAGGCGGTGGGGGGTGAGCAGTGGGGGGTGAGTTACCCTTGAGGCAGCAGGGGACGGTCGCGCTGACGCACCACTCCTCACAAATGCCCTATATCAGCCTTCCACCTTAGGGAATCCTTTAAAACAAGGACACACACTTTAACACTACACACACACACGAGGGGCACTTAAAGACACTTCACAGGAAATTGCGGTCACTGCACAATGCTCAAAACTCGTTGGTCATTCAAACGAATTTTTGGGGGAGACAATGGCGACGGATGACGGAGTTGACGGAGGTGGTCTACCTGCCTTGATTTTACACGAACACACTTATTTCCACTTAATCGATCACTTGATACTCACTGCGCCATGGAGATGTTCGGGGTACTTGGTTCTAACTACAGGAGCGAACATAAACACCTGTAGAGTTCTGTAGGTTCTTATTAACGGAAATATACAAGGTGTGCTTACAAGCGCGGGTAGTCCTTACAAGCCTATAGGGGTCAACTGACCTCACTCTGACCTCTCAGGCGACATGTGGTAAGTAGTATACTAGCAGCTTCCAGATGTTGCCAGGCACATTTATCTAAGCGTGTGGTGACATGCAACAGGGGCATTGCCACACGCTACTGACTAGAGAAATAATGTGTATATATAGAGTACATACATGGTATACATTGTAATGATTGTGATGACGGCTAACCTAAAAACCTTAAGGATTCATATTATGCTCAAACGTCCACAAAACCTCCTGAGTCCCCCAGTGGAAATGTACCCCGTTTTCTCTGTTTCCTTGATGACGTCATCGATAGGCAGTCTTTGTCTGAAGGGAACTTTGAATATAATCCGCGGATTTCGTAGCAAGACGCTGTATGTTGGGACCTGTTGCCATCCAACCCTTTGTAATCAATTAAATTTTGCTTTTGATAGCTCTGTCAGAGCATTGTTAGTGAAGATAATAGTAGGGAATGAAGCTGAGTTCATAGTCTCAGTTTCAACGTCAGAGTGTACAGTAAATTAATTCATCGAAATAGAAGTAGGTGGACTCCCTGACCTATTTTGAGTGAGGGTGCCGCGGGCATTTCAACCCTTAGTAAGTGCTCGCCCCTTCACACATACAGGTCCCTAATGCAGCCTAGGCCGTGTCTGTAGCGTGGATGTTGTATTCACTATGTGTGGGGAGATGTCCGAGGTCCAGTGGGATCAGTTACCTTCGTGAGACCCGACCGTCAGACATCTCAGACTACCTATGGGCCCCATAGCTGGCTCGTCTGACCCTAACGCTCGGCCATGGCTGTTGCTTGAGTATCACTCCTGACGACTGAGTGTTATAGTGGCAGTTGCCCCTGGTCTTAATGGTGCTAAGTTACTGTAAGAGTTTGTGTTATTGAGTATGTCCACCCAGTAGTGGTGTGAGTATGTTGAGCCTGAGGGCATAGTACGAGGTTTCGTCTGTTGGTACATATATTCTTGCTCCTGCCTCCAAATTAATGTTTAAATAAATTTTGTATTTGTATATTGTGTCTAGTATTTACCTACAGTATCTACCGTTATTTCTTCCCTATTACTTGATATTATCATTACATATACCCACGAGCCTCCTCTCGTCACTCTACCAATGGTTATAAGTTTTAGAGTAAAGAGAATTGTTATAAGAGGCACAGGCCCTTATAACATGCAACATACATAATGTACATACAATGTCTAAATGGTGTAAGGTCCACGTGTTGCAAAACCTCGCAGCACATAGGTATGTGGCAACGCTGTAAGATCCTTGTGCTGTCACTGGGGGTATCTGCGCACAGGATGCTGAATGTTGACGTCGCAAATTCCTCACCGTCAAGCCTTGTTGCCAGACAGGGGTGTTGCCAACTTTCCACAAGGTAGAAAGTCATCAATAACCCATAATTGGTTATTGAAAAAAAAATTGTACACCTCGTATGATGACAAAATAAAAATCACTCAACGTATAACGTCTCACTACGGGATATTGTAATACACTTTGGAGAAGTATAACATGTCACTAATTTTGTTTTTTCTGTTTTCGTAAATCACTTATGACTTTTTATGTAGAATGTGTTTATAGACGGGAATGTTGTTATCCGTTACCATTTTGCTGCCACCTTATGAACTGGCCCTTTAACCGTTGATTCCCTCTGGGTTAATGAGGCTGGAACATGTAAAATTATATAGGGTTTTAGTAGCGAAACCCAATTGTCTGTTCTCTGTTTATTGAGGAACTATCTCATATACAGTTACAAGTGTATATCACCGTAACTTAATCACTGTAGCTATGAGTGTTAATATGAGGACGGAGGCTCTTTTAAAGAGCTCTTCTAAATACGTCCGGTTGGTGTGAGGTAATGAGTGACCTATAATACCCGTCGAGGGAGAACGGTAATATACGTCCTCCTTCGAGGGAAGACGGAACCATCCACGATGACTCCCAATAACGTCTTCCTCGTCAAGGATATCAAACTACTGCCGCAAAAGGTGGCCAGAGAGCTGGCTACTTAATGCCTCAGAGGGTGATAGAGTATATAAATCAAATGTAATTAGCCCATTTATATAATACTTCTGCCTATAAGACTGGCTATTATATATATATATATATATATATATATATATATATATATATATATATATATATATATATATATATATATACATATATATAAATATTGATATAACCAGTTATACTGTAACCTTTGAGGTTTAGCACAGTACTTAATTAAGAATATTGAAGGAACGATTGCACTGCTTTTGAAAATTGCAAAAGTATATATCATGTTAGTTTTCAATAAATGCTATGATAAAACAATACTGAATTCCTTATTTCATATTTGTTAAGGATTTCTTTATTTGCAGATGGACATAATGCATTGAAAAAGATGGAACATGCAATTGGTGACGTACTAAATGCTAGCTATCAGGCTGATAGGACTATTATATATATCGCAGATGACACCTTCATGTCCAACAGTATCTTGCAGGTACGATAGATCATTGTAAGTGTGTATTTGTCTACACTTTTCTGTTGGTGTGGTTGTGCTTGTGCATGTGTTTGTGCACAAAGGAAGCCTGGGGACAATGGAATTAAGGACAATTGACCAAGGATAATTGCTTAGCATTATTAGCCAATGGTACAGTTATATATATATATATGTAATATTCAGAAATTTCAGAGTAATTTCAAATGCCCCGCCATTAGCGATACTGAGCGTTCAAGGTCATCTGAGGGGAGAGAGCGCTGCCTGCTCATAGCGAGAGATTGCTGAACTAGGCCTATATGATATTAAATGTAATTTACCGAATTAATAATGATGCGATTCATGAAGTTAAGGGACTATTATTGAATTTGAAATTATTATAGATCGTTTATCAGTCTGAATAATGTTACGGGTGTCCCAAGGAGTTATTAGTTAGGCGGAAAATATGTCACGTAGGCCTAAGCTAACGCCTTGAGAGGACACGAGGCGGGCTCTCCCTCAGTCGCTGGGAGGATTCATACAAAACAAGACGTCCCTGCGCGTCCGTCACAGAAATAGTCACGTGGCCTAGTCACCTGTGTTGCGCTATTGCCGTATAACAAGTAAGTCTCATGCGATCTCAGACAGGGTTAGATAGGGCAGTGGTAAAGTAAACTAGAGCTAACAGTGAGTTCATTTCAGGGTTTCCGTCAGAACCCACTTGACTGGAGTTGACCGGAGTTGACTGCGAGAGATTGACTGCCGTTTGAGACTGCCGTTGATGATTGAGGGTGGCGATTGTCGCCATTGGACCGATCAGTGTAGGCCTGTCACTGTTTAGCGGGGTAGCAAAGGATCTCTTGAGTGAACGAGTGCTTCCGACAACTAAAACGACGGGACCAGCATCCACAGTGGGTGATCAGTTCTTACCACTCGGGTGCACAACACCACATGTCCCGAGCAGCTAAGTGAAACCCTCTTGCTAACGGGAAGCTAAAGTTTTTCTCAACTGTACAAGGTCTGATTGGCTCACTCCCTTCCGCTTTATGGATGCACTGGGAGTACACTGAGGCTATCTGAGTAAACTAATGGTCACACACTGAGAACGTGAGTCTAGGTCTCTAGGAGATACCTAGAGGAACATCTTCCCTCCCTTATTACGGGTGTAGTTAACACCATTCCTCAGACTGATATTATCTTGACGTGTGTAGTTTAATAGTTCTAAATAATTTTGATAGTATTGTTTTTGAATGTTTGTGCCATTAAGTGGAACCAGAGTGATACTGTGATTTGATTCTTTTAATGCATCTAATTGTTCTTCATAATTCTCATCTCAGGTATAACCTTGTTCCCCAGAGTAGTGGTTAAGTTAGGTTAGGAAGTGTGCATCTGTTGGGGTGCTATTATTTTGTTGAAAGCCCTTAAGGCCTATTCATTGCAGAGTATTTAATTTCTTATTTTTTATTACCATTTCCTCAGTGACTGATATTATTTTGTTGAAAGCCCTTAAGGCCTATTCATTGTAGAGTAGTTAATTTCTTATTTTTTAATACCATTTCCTAAGTGACTGATATTATTGTGTGAAAGCCCTTAAGGCCTGTTTCATGTGTGCAAGCAACATTTCTTAATACTTCAAATTTATTGTTGCCTGTGTTTCTAATAATTTCTATATCATGTATAACTTTTATTCCCCAGAGTAGTGTTTTAAGTTTAAGTTAAGAGGTGCGCATATTGGTGTACCATTATTTGATTGTGTTTGTAGTGTTGGAGGGAATATAAGTGTCTAAATTTTACAGTGTGTCTCATTCACCCCAGTCACAGATGCTATCCTTCCACGGGTCACGGACGATTCATTTTGTTTAGTAGATTTAAGTGTTCTTGTGCTGGTTCGGGATTTTTCTCAAAGGGGCGCTTCCACTGCCATTACCATCTATTAATTTTTAATAAACCCCAAGTCAAGTGAGAAATTAAAGTCCAGTAAATTCCGACCGGTTACATATATATATATATATATATATATATATATATATATATATATATATATATATATATATATATATATATATATATATATATATATATATATATATATATATATATATATATATATATATATATATATATAATATCTCTGTAGGTGCGCGTGAACCAGGTATATGCTGATAACCACAAGGAAACAAGAAAACACGAAGTGCCCAAGCGCTTTTGTGTAATTCACATCTTCAGGGGTGAGTACAAGAACTGGGTTGGATTCCTCAGAAGAAGACGTACTACTGCTGTCCAAGACAACGATGGCCTGGCATTTTTTGGCTTCTTCCTCTGCACTGTCTGCAGCCAACTTCCTTTTCATCGCTTTCTTGAGAGTTTTTTCTCGTCGTTTCTGTCTTTTCAGGAATACTTTGTCAAGAGATGACATTGCCCCACGACGCCCTTTTTCTCGTTGCGCTATTAAGAAATCCTTATCCTCCTGAACTGTCATCATATTCAAAGCATTCACATGTGGAATGTCAAAGAGATCTTCAAATGTATCGGTGAACTCTTTCTCTTTCTGCTTTTGAGTTTCTGTCTTTCTTGAAGAGTTCTTTTTCAAGCTACTCCACTTGTCAAACATTTTGTGCACTTGATTCACACAATCTGGTTTGTGGTGTGTGGGAATGTTTGCTTTTGTCCAAAATTGAAGAACTTAGTATGTGACTTTCCCAGCTGCCACTCTGATGGTTTTATCTGTATGCGATGCAGGCTTAAAAAATACTGTAACACTTGCCTGTTTGAAGGTAACTTAGCCCCTGTAATGTCATCACATAATGTCTTTATCAAATACACATTTTCTCGTGTTTTTACTCCTGCATTAGCCATTTTGACCTGAGGAATAAGGAAATTAACTATTAATATAAATTAATCACGACCAGCAAAAACTCACCACAATCGTGCCAAATGCGACGCGCTAGTGGTGGGCGTAATCGGCTACAAAGTAATCGACTACATCGATTACTTAATTTTTGGCAGCCTTGAGCAACCTCTAAATATTAATATATTTAAGAATAATTCTACACACAATATTTTTGTCGTAAATGAACACGTTTAGAAGGGTCTGTGGTAAAAAATTCCAAATTTGAAAAATAAGGACCACCCTAACAGACAGTAATTAGGGTGGTCCTTATTTTGGGGCAAAAAACAAAATTTGCCATTTTTTTGTCACAGACTCTGGCAAAAGTTTTCATTTGGGGTAGAAACATTGCCTGTAAAATATTTTTTAAATATCTTAATAATTAGATGTTGCTCAAGTCAAATGAAATTTAACAATATTATGCCTATGCTTAATGTTCATAACACATCATTTCCTAGCCCCCAAGCCTGGGCCCCCCCCCCCCCACTTAGTCTAAGTGGGTATTAGCTGCTCAAGGCAGGGGTCGCATGAGGACCAGTCTCACTCTTTGTCGCCCAGTAAGGTCTGCTTGAGGGCATTAGGGAATGATTTCCTGTGGTCAGCAACTGCCTGCAGTAGATACTGCAGTTGCTGTTCGTCCTTGGTGATGCGGCCTGAGAAATCTTGGACTAAGGCTACTCCTCTTTCTGCATGATCATTGATCACAGACAAAGCTTGTACACTGGCTTTTGCATTTTGGAAGCCAGGATCATCTTTCCACTGTTCTACTGGGAGGGCCAGGAAATCTGTATTCAAGTTGAGCTTTTTGAAAAATGACTTTGTGTTCTTTGTCGTGAAATCATATAGGTTCTTCACTTGGAGTGTGTCTGGATTGATTGTAACCCGTTTGACATGCTTTTCTTCTCCAATAACGATGTTCATAGCTTCCAACATGCGGTCCTTCACTGCTGGGAGAACATCGTCATCAAAGAAGGCCAATGCAACCAACTCTTCTAACAAGTACCAGAGGTGTCTCATCATTTTGTGGAAAGTTGCCTTTGATATGGCATCGCTGATGGTACTGTAGTCTTGTAGAGCTTTAAGCAACATCAGATCTCCTTTTGGTACCTTTGCAGCAAGTGGAACAGTTGTCCAAGCCTTCACATATATTCGGGCAAAGAAAATGCACAAATCTCTTAGTCCTCTGTTCTCCTTTGGAGTGAGCTTAAACTATGAACGGAATAACCACACTTAGAAGGAATAAATGGTCTTTGCCATCCATCGTGCTTGGTGCATTGCACCAGGAGCAGAAAATCGTACTCCCCGAGAAGGTGATGCGCCAAGGAAGATGGAGGCCAGCTCTAGCAGCTCTCGATAATCATCTCGAAGCTGTGTCTCCAATAGAGCCTTCTCAATGAAGTTGGTTAGATTGTCCCTAATAGCTCTGATCGATTCTTCTGCCAGATCGTCGGTGAAGGAGTCTTCAAACTTCTGCTTGTCAATTTGTTCCCATTTGGCTTGGAATCTTCTAAACATCTGTATGTCAGGAGCAGCTGAGTGCCCCATTACAGCTTCAAAAGCAGCTCCAGCTACAAGTTCTAGTACATGGTGGCGGCAGGCAAAATATAGCAAATCACGACCCAGCAACTGCTCAATTTTGACACAAGCACCCTTGTGGTGACCAGTATTTGAGCTTGTTGTATCAAAACACATGCCATGCACGATGTCTGCAATGTGCCATTGCTGCAAAGCCTTCACAACAGCTTTTGCTTGTTCATCACCGGTACCAGAGGGAAGTTTTGCAACAGCAAGAGTGGGAGGCGCCATTGCCTGAGACAAGAACTGGGAGTCTGTCAACATGACCCCCATGCCCCGTCAAATCAGGCCTCAATTTACCATCCCAGTGAACAATTAAAACTGACTCTGGTTTGAAGTTTGAAAGGATTTCAGCTGCCCTGCTACCGCGATGATGCTGACGTTTCCTCCTGATGCTTGATCGATTCAGAATCAGTTCACTGACATCATGGCCCAGACTCCGAGCAGTTTGGGTGACAATGTGCATGGCCATTCTATCTGAGGACTTGGTCCGATCTAATGCTGCAGAAAGTTCTGGAGTTAGAACTTCTTTTCGCCCACGCTTCTTGACAGTAGGTGGAGTTTGAAGCGCTGATGGGCCAGGAACTGGGTTGGATTCCTCAGAAGAAGACGTACTACTGCTGTCCAAGACAACGATGGCCTGGCATTTTTTGGCTTCTTTCTCTGCACTGTCTGCAGCCAACTTCCTTTTCATTGCTTTCTTGAGAGTTTTTTCTCGTCGTTTCTGTCTTTTCAGGAATACTTTGTCAGGAGATGACATTGCTCCACAAAGCCCCTTTTTCTCATTGCGCTATTAAGAAATCCTTATCCTCCTGAACTGTCATCATATTCAAAGCATTCACATGTGCAATGTTAAAGAGATCTTCAAATGTATCAGTGAACTCTTTATCTTTCTGCTTTTGAGTTTCTGTCTTTCTTGAAGAGTTCTTTTTCAAACTACTCCACTTGTCAAACATTTTGTGCACCTGATTCACACAATCTGGTTTGGTCTAGCAGGGTCTGTGGTAAAAAATTCCAAAGTTGAAAAATAAGGACCACCTATTGGTCAGTGAGAGTCGAAAGGGTCAGTGTGTTGAGAGCTTCTTGATATGTGGAATAGTAAGGGGAGAGAATAATCTTGCATGGGGGTGGTGGAGCGTTTTAACTTTAGTGTGTCCAGACGTTTTGCTACTTCAAATTCTTCTACTAAGTCAGTGGGAAAAGGGGCTGGTAGGTAAGCAGGGAGAGTGGTTGTGTCAAGCCGGGGGAGCGTCTGGCATATACAGTAGTAGCGAAATGGTTATTTGATTGCTCAGCTGCGTCAACATTAGTGAGATGGCTAAGGAAGGGGAGGGGGCGTGTCTTATTGTTTAGTCCACAGAGTTCTTTAAGCTTACCATACCATTGACTGATGTTAGTGTGGTTCAGGTGTTGCAATTTGGTTGGGTAGTGGGACTTCTTTGCAGTGTGTATTTCGTGGATGACTCGGTTGTGAAGGGACCTGTAGCGGTTGTGGTCTTTTGATCCGAGGTGTGATCCAGGGCAAATCAGCTGGGAGAGATCTGACGGACTTCTCGGGGAAGAAGTGGTGGTGAGCTTCCGTGGTGGTGTTGGTATAATTTTCCATTTGGTTTCCACGTCATCCACGCTAAGTACTTCATTCCAGGGATCAGTGCCGGATTTAGACCTGTGGAGGCCCATGGGCAGCCTCTTTGTGGAGGCCCCACTCATTATAACTACCCAAGAGGGTGGGGTGGCGAGTGAAGCGAGCCTAAACATCTGGGAGTTCCGGTGGGCGCTGTAAGCCCCCTGGGAAAATTTTGAAATTTGAACACTTCTTTGGAGAATATGCAGTTATATTGAGGAAATTATAATATTGTGAAATTTTTAATTAACTGCATATTTATTGATAGTGTACAAATTCCCAACACACACACACACACACACACACACACACACACACACACACACACACACACACAAAAGTGAGACATGACTGGAGTCATTCATGTGGTTTCAAGTCGACCAGCCCTGATATGTGGAGGCCCCGAGATTAAGGCTATAACGATTGAGTATCTTAATCCAATCATTCTCTAACATAAATATTAACAAAATCATTATATTTATTTATATCTAGCATGTATTTTAATTATTTTTGAAGCATTAAAAATTTTTCTCTTCACCTGTATCTCTCTGATACTCATAGCATCTTTTATTTGTTGCAGAATAGCAGTGTATTGTTCGGCCCGTGGAGTATTGGGGTAGTGAAGGTGTCTGTCACCGACTTTCACACAAACAAGACTGAAGCTTTTCTCTCCCTTCTCCTCGCTAAGGCTCGCCGGGTACGTCACTCGTTTAATATTATATTCAGTAAACAACGGTCAAAGTGACCATTCTCTTTAGTTTTGTATGAATTCCGAAAAACATAATTGCTGAAGAAACTCTGGGAACACTGACCAAACTACCAAAAAATTTAACTAACATCCTATGACAAGCCTGAAATCGTCTAGATTACTATTCGCCAAACTTTGATATTGAGTTGTCATGACAACTAACCAACACTCACCCAATTTTTTATCTTCCTCTTGGTAAGTTACGTAGATGAAAAAAAATCTAATTATTCTTAAAATGATTGTTATTGATTGGGTAAAGAGACTTTGTTTCTGGATCCTCTTGTAATAATAAGCCCCCATGTTGGTATCACAGGCGTCCTTCCTTCTCAAAGGAAGGGACAATAGTCAGCAGTTCGAAGAACTGGAGCCGAGAAAAGTAGTCTAGGATTTTGATATGTTCAAAGGAGTCTTCATCACTGTTGTTCCTTACATACTTAACCTTTGGGCTACAGAGGTTTGTTAATGGAACAATCACAAAAAAAAAAATTCTTACAGACAGGCAGACAGACAGACAAATTTACTTGGCTCAAACTTTTTCAAAGTATGGCGCACAGCTCCTTATCACAACAATCGCATATGAAAATAACAATTTACAATAAATTAATGATAAAAATTGGTATGAACTACAGTATCTCGATATGAACCTAAACATATCTATTACAAACCTGACAAACACAGCCACGTTACAGATGGTTCTAAAAATTAGTCTGTTGCATTAATTTAGCAAATTTCAAATGACTTGGAGGACTTCTTTAAAATCTTGGTATATATTTGCATCTTTTCTTTGTTATCTTGATTATCACACTCAAGAATAACGTGATATTCATCTCCAATAACATTATAACCATGTTTAATACAAATTCTCTTTTATCTTGGAAGAATTTCATATCTACCAGCTATAATGGGTAATCTTGTATTGTTAACTCTAAATTTAAATAAGATAGATCTGATTTTTTTGTATCCTTATTAAATACTGTATTCTTCTAACTTGAAACTAGTTTTATAACTGCAACATAATGATGTACTATTCAGGTTAGCATACCACTGGTATAATACACTGATATTTTATTTATTTTTTCAACAGCATCTTTTAACCATATTGACATATGTTGGTTTTGCATTATCCATATACCTGTCCTCCCGCAATTATTTAGCTCACATTTAATTTGGTTCAGCCATGAAGAAATGAATCCGCCATCCTTTTTTGACTTCCTGAGGCACTGATACATAATATAGCTCAGTTTGTTTTGGTTCCCATTTACTAACCTTGTCCAGTATCCCACCATCCTGCATTTTATATGAATATCAATAGGCCATCTACTTTATTCTCCATATACTATACCATTACTTATATTTTTATTAACATTAAGGACATGTTTTAAGAATTTTAAATTAAGAGTTTATAATTCCTTAAAAATATTACAACCCCCATCCCTCACACCCATATGTCATAATTGGTAATACCATTGCATCAAAAAGTTGGAGCTGCAAGCCAATGGGGCTGATCAAATTCCCTACATTTGCCTATTAAACTTTACATGTCTCTGTTTATATTGATGAACAATCTCAATTTGTTCTTCTTTAAACCTGAAATCATATCTTTCAGCTGTACATTTCTTTTTTTCCAAAAATTTTATTTTATGAATGTTTTTTCTAACTATCATTCTTCACAATGTTCCCATATATCCATAAGAGCATTCACAATACATTAATACCACTAATATCAACATCATATCTAACCATTCTCTATTAAAACTTAAATATTCACAATTTCTTTCAAGCAAAAACTCTTTAAGTTCATTAACATTCAGTGAAAATAGTATGGGCGAAAGGTTTTCTCCTTGCCTTACTCCCCTACAACTCATAAAATGCTCAGAAATCTCTTGATTATGTAAGATACAAGATTTGATATTTCAATACATTCTAATCAAGACATTTATAAATATACAAATATTTCCCGCTTCTATCTGTTTATACCATGAGTCATCCCTCCAAACAAGGTCAACGGCCTTCGTATTTTCAATATAGCAAACTTCGTCGAAAACCAGCCTGTAATTCTTTAATAACATTATTAGTTTCATAGAATTGTGTTAATCTGTCATTTAACAAGGATGTAAATAATTTTCTTACCCAACTTCAATAATTATTTATTCCCTCACATCACCTTTATTTTTATATATGGGAACAATAAGACTTATAAGCCACTCCTCTGGTAACTCTCCGGTTTCAAACAATTTGTTAAATAGCTTTATAATAATGTTGCCCCTCGTGTAACGAGGATGGCCGGCCCTAGGGCCACCTAAGCGTGAATTTGTTTAAGGTGTAGAAGCTGTCGTCTACACAAAAACCACACCCTCAGTTAACGAGTTGCATGACCCAGTGTCAAGGAATAGTCCGAGAAGACTGGAAAACTCGCCAACTGCACTGGCTAACCATTACCCCGGAATACGATCTGCACATCGATTAATATCCAGGACCCCAATTGCTGGTGGGTAGACAGAGGCAAATGGCATAAAGAAATTTGCCCATAGTTTCACCCTGCCTGGGGACCGAACCCGGGTCCGCTCGCTTGCGAACCACATTCAGACGGAATGGTAGAAAAAAATTAATTGGACCTTGGGACGAGAACTAGCCAAGTACTGTGTTGAGGGGCATACAAAATGGGATCACAAGATGCCTGTTCTGCTCATGCCATATCGGTTGGCTCCCCACAAGTCGACTGGATACACTCCGGCAAAACTGATGCTAGGTCACGAACTGCAGCGGCCAATGGACCTGCTGACAGGAAGACCACCTGATGAAGAACTTCCTGACGAAACCACCATTTAACGTCAAAAGCCTCCAAGAAAGGTTGACAAAGATCCACCATCAAGTTCGAGGAGCTCTGGAGTTCTAAAGTGATGTCAAAGCAAGCCAGGTCTGTTACAAGGACGGTGATAAGGTCTGGCTGTATAACTCTCAGTCACCGAAGTTGCAGAGTCCATGGGAAGAACCATACACTGTAGTGGAACGATTTTCAGATGTGACCTACCGGATCTGGCAGTATCTTGGGCCAGGGCGGTACACCTGGAAAGACTCTGAGGAAGTATCACCTACCACCGACGAGGGCCAAACCGGAGATCCTGGAAAGACTCAGGACCGTATCAGTCCGGAGAACCCGACCATGAACCGGGAACAGGAGCACTGTTCCTCTTAGCAGAATTGGACGTGACAGGAAAAGGGGACCAATCTGAGGATGTGACTGAGGTTGCTGCGGCAAGGGAGGACCTACCAAGTTGCAGGATTTTTATGTAACAATAGTGAATAAATATGTCAGGGCGACACAAGGATTAGGGAGGGGGTAGAGTTATGACGAGGCATAATTTGGTATTATAATGTTTGTAAACTAGGTGTTTTGATTATTTTCTGTCCCAAGTAGCAGTTATTTTTGCAAGTTTTGGGAGATTTTCGTGTATATATTGATGTCTTACTTTGGTAAGAATAAACTTGACACGGATGTCATCAGTTTGTTCTAGCCCGGCGACGGCGGCTAGGGTGTGTTGGGCGGCAGGAGAGGAGGGGGAGGGTGATTTGAGCCTCGCGAGCGCAGAAGTGCTGTCACTGATTATAAGGAGGTTCCGGCGTTCAGTGCGAGCATAAGTTGCCCCCTCATGAATGCCCGCGAGGATGGCTATGCTTTCAGTGTCAGTGGAGGAGCCCCAGTCTTGGACCCCGATTTTCATGCGGGCCTGGCGCTCAGGAATCCACACAGCTGCCCCAGCGCTGCCCAGCATGGTAACAGACCCATCACAGTAGACGAGGATAGGAGGATGGGAGGTCGTAAGAGAGGAGGCGACATCATTAATCTGCTCAAGGCAGTTAAGTTTGAGCATATACCGCAGTTGGGTGGATTTACGACCAATGAAGGTGTGGACGACAACATCAACACTCGGGGAAGTCCACGGCAGTTAAGGCGGATGAGTGTACTCGGGAGGGAGAGAGGTCGAGGGGGTGTAGAGGTGATAACGTAGGATGTCAGCAGCAGTGTGGACGGGCCAGTGTTGAGAAGGGGAGGGAAAGGTAATGGGGACAGGCCGGCGCAGGAGGGTGCTAAGATGTGAGTTCAGTGAGTGCGACAGGGGAGTCGGTTGCTCTCTGCGAAGAAGTTTAACACCAAGGATGGCATTGAGAGCAGAAATTCGATCGCAGAAGGGGAGTAGGATCAGTTCACGCTGCATGACTACTATTCTGGTGGTCATAGGACAGCCGAGGATGAGTCTCATCGCTCTGTTTTGGATTTTCTTTATGCTTTGTTTCTCGCGCTGGGAGGCAACTACAAGGACAGGAGAGGCATAATCTATGACAGCTTGACGATGGCAATGTACATAAGAAGTAGGACCCTGACAGAGGCTCCTTTGAAACCGTGGGTGAGGGACTGGAGGGGCCTCGTTCGTTGGCGGCACTGGGAGATGACGTGGGCGGCGACAGCGGAGGTGGTGGAGCTGGTAGTGGCTCGCACGGGTAGACCAAAGTACCTGTAGGTGCGTACTTGATCGATGTCTTGTCCTTTTAAAGGCAGCGGTGTCTGACGCCGGAAGCATGAGATGAACTTGGTTTTAGTGTGTGAGATGACTAGCCCGAGTGTTTGACAGGTCCGAGCAAACGTGGAGAGTATAGGTTGTTCATGTTGCACTGTAGTAATTTGGAGGAGAATATCATCAGCGTAGCTTATGATGTGACCGTCTAGGGCACACTCAGCAAAGATGTCGTTGAGGCGGCAGATGGAGTTCATAAGAACATTAAGGAGTGTAGGGCTGAATACACCTCCCTGAGGCGTGCCAAGATCAAGGTCCCTGATCGTAGAGTAGTGGCCCTGAAAACGGACACGGGCCTGTCGATGGGAGAGGTAGTCAGCAATCCACGTGAGGGGTTTGCCCTTCACATCAATGAGGCCCTCAAGGATCACTTCA